TTTTTTTTTTTTTTCTTTAAGACAGTATCTCACTCTGTTGCCCAGGTGCCGTGGCTCAATCTCAGCTCACTGCAGTCTCTGCCTCCTGGGCTCAAGTGATCCTTTCAGCTCAGTCCCCCAAGTAGCTGGGACGGCAGGAGCAAGCCAGCACGCCTGGTTAATTTTTGCAATTTTTTAGAGATGGGATTTCACCATGTTGCCCAGGCTGGTCTCAAACTCCTGAGGTCAAACCATCCACCTGCTTCGGCCTCCTCCCAAAGTGCTGGGATTACAGGCATCAGCTACTGTACCTGATCGTTTTTCATAGTCTTAGCCATTCAGTGGCTTTGATTCTTGACCTTTCTCTAAAGCATTCTCCAAATGGCACCATTTTTTCCTTTATTGACTCCTTTCTGTTTTCTTCAGTGGTCCTTCTTTCTTGATCCCCTTTAAATATACATATTTTAAATTTTCTCTTCATGCCATCTGGTAAGGTCAAGTGGGCAATCTCAGCATTCCTGGGAAACTTAACATGATCTAAGATCACTGGGGGACCATTGACTCCAGATACTGCCTTGTACCTGAGGCAAGGCTGAGAGAGGTTGTTCCAACTGACTGCCAGCACCTGCTCCCAAGCTCCTACCATTGGCCCCTTTAAATATTGAGATATCTCAAGATTCTTTTGTAAAACTTCTGTATTTCTTCCTGGATGGAGGTATTAACTGCAGTGGTGTCAGTTCTCACCCAAATGTTAATCCCAGATACTTATCTACAGCATTTACCTCTCTCCTGAGTGTGTCCCTGTTACTGAACTGCCTGTTCAACAATTGACACTTACATATGCCTTAGGCAAATTTTTTTTTATATTGAAAGTTAATAATATAAGGGATTCCTGGCCAGGTGCAGTGGCTCACGCCTGTAATCCGAACACTTTGGGAGGCCGAGGCAGGCAGGTCACTTTAGGTCAGGAGTTTGAGACCAGCCTGGCCAACCTGGTGAAACCCCGTCTCTACTAAAAATACAAAAATTAGCCGTGTGGGGTGGCGTGCGCCTGTAATCCCAGCTACTCAGGAGGCTGAGGCATGAGAATCACTTGAACCTGGGAGGCAGAGGTTGCACTGAGCCAAAATCATACCACTGTACTCCAACCTAGGCGACAGAGCTGAGACTCTTTCTCAAAAAAAAAAAAAAAGAAGATTCCTTCTGTGTTCCCAACCATGGCATTTCATTTAGTCCCTCAGTGATCTTTTACTTCTCCAGTCTTCAACATCCAGGCAGATGGTCTCAAGACCTGTGTTCTGTCTTGTCAGCAGTCCTCTCATTCCCATCCTCACTGCCTTAGTGCGAGCCCTCATCTCTTGCCAAGATTATGCGGTAGCTTTTCAGTTCAGTCCATGCTGTACCCTGCTGCCGGAGTTCTTTCTAAAACGTGATATTGTCACACCCTTACCTAAAAACCTTTAGTGATTCCTTATTACACAAAGGATATAATCCAGATTACATGGCATTTAAAGCCATTTGGAATCTGGCCAGTTGTTCCTTCTCCCCAGAATGCCTTTCCCTTCCTTGTTCACCTCATGAACTTAAATCTTTAAGACCAAGCTTACCACCTCTTCCGAAACAGTCTTAATTTACTACAGTGGCTGTCTCTGCTGCATTCCCACAACTCATACAGTTTTACTGGTGCATATTTGCTTTTCAGCTACTTGTGGGCACCATATTACCAATACTAACACAGGTCCTGGACTTAGCTACTTAATGAAAATGATTTCATTAATGGCATTTGAGGGTTAAGATCATTCTGGGGTTCAGTTCCCTGTGACGCAAATACAGAGTATGAATACAATGTGGTTTTGTAAGTTAGAAACCTCATGGAATATTGTTCCAACCATTACCAGTTATCTGTGTTCTGCATCTGCATAACAATTTGCATGTTGAAATTTTCCATTAGGAGGGAGTGTTAGGTGAAGGTGAAAAGGCAAACAGCTGGCATGTTCATAGGATCTTTTTTGGCATTGGGCTTGAAGCATTTGGTTTTTCAGGTTTGTTGGGATTTAAACTCATCATTGGCAGAGATTTAATGTTGATAGTAAATGCATGTAGACATGGATCCATCCGGAAACACAGAGATAGGAAAACATGCTTCTTTTTTTTTTTTTTTTTTTTTTTTTTTAGGTCTCACTCTGTTCTAGTAAATATTACCTCTAGTTAAGTTTCTTTT